AAATCATGAAAAATATAGAATAAGCATACAAAGGTTTATAAATGTATTGGCTTGCATTAAACTTTTAATCACCCGACAAATATAATTTAAATAAAAACGTATGTGTATCACAAGTTCAAATTGAGTTATGTGACTGGATTAGAAGTTCAAGAGTGTGGTCATAATGTTTTGACAACAATCGGTATCTGATATTTACAAGTTGTTATGTTGCAATTACTATATATAAATGAGTACACATGCTTTTTGAGGTACGATATGTCAGCTTATGGGTGCACAAAAAACCGTCAACCAGCAAAATCCGTCCAATCCAACCCGCTTAACCGTCAAATCGTTCATCCGTCAATTAGGAGGGTTGAAATTGGGTTGGGCCTAACTCAACCCGCCCAACCCGCCACTAATATATAATTTTTATAAAATTATATATATATATATATATATATATAGGGGCTGGTTCAAATACTAACCAAGATTATCGTGTTAACTTTGTTAACGGTCGTTGATTTGAACATCCAACGGTTGTCATTTATTGAGACTAAAAATTTAATTATTTAATTACCATATTAATAAAAAATTAGGTTCACAATGGTTCATATGGTAGAATTGTAAAAAGTGAATGATCTTAACGTATCTTATTTTGTAAGCCTATTCTGTAACTTCCAATCAATAAAAAAACCGTCAATCTCATCGATCAATATCTTAAATCAGTAGCTAAAAATTAGGTTCATAATCTTCATCAAAACAATAGAGGATTTGGAAGGATTACCAGGCGACAACATCCAGATAAGATTGAAACATGTGTGTGAACCTAATGAACAATTAAAAAATTAGGTTCATAATCTTCATCAAAACAATGTGTGAACCTAATGAACAATTGAAACATGTGTGTGAACCAAATGGACATATTGTGTGAACCAATTGAACACATATGTGCACGAGTGAACACATATGTGCACGAGTGAACACATATGTCGACGTTTGAGTGAACATGTGCGTGAACGGTTTGATCATTTTCTTCACTTTCGGAATTTGAATTCCGAATGTATTCGTAGACGCTTTTAGCTTTTTCATTCTCATTGTCGTCGATCTGTTTTACTCTATGATTATCCATATTACTCGGACTATAACGGAATCTTTACAAAATGAAATTTTTTGAAATTTACAATATCAAAACCATTGTAGGAAGAATGAAATGTAAAAATCTTTAAGGGCTTTTAAGCCCTGTGTTAACAGTCTTAAAAGGGGTCCCTATATTTAAGTTGATAACTGCATTCTGTCTTGATTCCATTTTTTATATAGCTCGCTCCCTCTTTTTCCAAGAATTCATGCACTTCCCTTTACTCCATAGGGCCTTCTTTAATAGGTCAGACACGGCGAAGACTTTCATTGAATATGGGATTGAGACTACGTGCGAAGACTGATGGCTCCATACGGGATACAACAGATGCACCCTACGTACCCTCTCGTTATTCCCATGATTCCCCGCTGTAAATCAATTCAAATAGATAGGGGAGTTCCGAACGCAAGCTCTCCCGAATACGACAGATGCGGAAGTGGGGAAGCCGGAAGTGGCAATTCAATTTCAATCTAAAATAGATAAAAATTATAATTTTGATTAGTAGTTGTGCTGTCAGTAAGAAGGTAGCTGGCGCCTTTCGCCAAGGGGAATTCCAGCACGAAAGCAAGTGTTGTTATCATTCTTTCTGGAAGGGAAAAAAAGAAGTACCCCCCATCATAGTGAACCTCTCCGGGCCTTTCCTGCGCAGCTTAGGTGGAAGGCGAAGAAGGCCTCCACGCTTTTTCGACCGCGGGGTGGTATGATTGTCGGGCCCTCTCCTCGTTCCGCACAATTTCCCCTTCATGTATGGTTACCTGATGCAATGGAAGGGCCGCCCTTCTCACGGAGCCGTACGTGGACGTTACCGCTCATACAGCTCCCAACTCAATAGGGACAGCTAGTCTTCCTTCCTGGGTGCTTGCCCAATCCAATGGTGCCTGTGCTCACCATTGGAATCCCATAATAAATTAGCCAGGTAAGATCGGTCCAGGATCATGGGATCCTTTTCTATCAGATAGGAAGGGCTGTAGCACAAAATGTACTTTTAAGTAATTGCCGGTGGGAAACAACAGCTAAAACAACCCGACATTTCCTCTCCGGTAGGAGGGAAATGTATTACTTTCAATGCCTAGCTGACCAACTGAGCTATAGCCCTTAGTGCTTGTAATGCATATTTTATTATGTAGATAATTTCTTGTCAAGAGGAATATTCTCAAGATGACTATTCCATGATCAAGATGAACAAATGTGAAACTTCATGTCATTATTACATGAAGATCAATTAATGATATTTTAAGATTTGTAACTCCCAATTAAAATATTAGGGAGTTACATAAAAATGACAAATTACCTAAATATGCTTACATTTAATATGTGAGTTACATTTGAACCTAACTAAAAGATGGAACATGATTAGTTGATGTTGGTTAGCATAGTTAACACACAAAAATGGGTTAGTATTTGAACCAACCTATATATATATATATATATATACATATATATGTGTGTGTGTGTGTGTGTGTGTTTATTATGTATGTGTGTTTATTATGTGTGTGTGTGTATATATATATATATATAATGTATAATTTTTATTGATATTATGTTTGTATTTCATTTTAGCTAAACATATATGTTACCAAAAGAGGTTCACGATCAAAGAATTATGACAAATAATCTAATTAGTAAGATAAAATTATTGAAATCTTTTTTGCAGCAACAACAAATTGATATGTCGGAGAATACGAATGATACTAATAAATATTTTGTTGACGAATCCATCAATCTAAATACCCTGTCATTTGATGTTGTACAGCTTTAGTGGAAATAAAATGTTTAGTTATAGCATTTCGCTACAACAACATTAGATCTTATAGGATGCCTAAAATGTCTAAGCGTTTTAATATGATTTATAGGACGAAGCAAGAAAAATGTCTTATCTAAAAGAGTTACAATATATTTATAGGATGATTTTGAGCGTCCTAACAAATTATGTGACCTTTTTAAAATAAAGTCTCATGTCAATTATTTTATATGACACAACTTGAAAAGTGTATATGAACATAGGTGTCTTATAAATAGATGAGTTTTAGGGACACTTCTCAAAATATTTATATAAAATAACTAATACGACATTTTATTTAAAGATCATTTTTAAACACTTGTTGAAGCGTCCAAAAACGTCATGTAAACCGATTGTAACCTTTTTTAGATAAGACGTTTTATAGTATGGTCTATAAACTTAAGTTTTATGAATTATTTCAATTTTATGGGATGGGTTGGGTTATACTTTTGATTGGATTGGGTTAAGATTTTTCCAAACCTCTATAATTTGGTTGGGTTGTAAAAATGTTGTAAATCGCCCAACCCAACCCGCGTGCACCCTATGTCAACTTCTCTAACATATTGAATTTTCTTACAATACACTACTAAAAAGGGGATGTTCATCCACGGAAATCTCAGTTGGAAAATATAATTTTCTACACTTTTTCAAAGGAAATAGTTGCAGATTTTTTGGTCGCACTTTTTTTATTCAGGTGGAATTCAAAATCTCTTCCACAGTATATCCATGATGACAGCTATGGTAAAATACGGAAATCCTTTGGTATAAAAATGAATATGAAGGGTTTTGAACGAGATTTGGCAACGCTTTCGCTATGGAAATGACCTTATTTACAATGGATTTTCGACAATTAGTCATTTACGACGTATTTTCGACAATTAGTCATTTACGACGTATTTTCGATGATCATGTTTTTATAAAATCCACACTTTTTTGACGGATATTAGTCTCAGAAATCATATATATAGAACATGTTTTGAACTGAGTTGCTCAGAAGCTAATACATTGAAGAAACTGTTTAGAATTATCAAGAAACAAATTCAACCGCTAAACAGAATGACTCGGTATGCATAGTGTTTTTATCAACAAATATTCAAAAATTAGAATCTTTAATTGTGAAGAACAAATAAGAATTGAAATATTGATATGAAATAACGCACAATGAAGACAATTAGAATTTCAAACGAGTGTATTTCCATCGAGAAATATCAACGAATATATGAGACATAGAAATAACGAAATTTAAGAACAGTTGAATCAGGTATTAAAATTATGCATGATGAGAAATTACACAAGTAAAATACATGTTCTAAGATAGTACTCGTTTTAAAAAAAATCATTTAAATCTTCACTTCTTAAAATCATAAAAACATTTAAGATCAAAGAAGTGGTTTGAATATTTGTAAAACATTTTTAACATACTCAGAAGTTGGTCTTCTTCTAAGCATATGAAGATCAAGATAAAAAAAATAAGCACAAAAAGAAATTTGATTAAAAAATATTGCTCAAAAAGATTTCATCGCTTAAAATCCTGCCAATGAGGGGTTTCATCGTTCACCATTAGTCACTCATCGCTCAATTATGGTACCTCATCGCTCGATACTATGACCCATCGCTCAATACTTTGACCGGATAATTTGATTACCAAAACTGTGTTCGAAAATTCAGTTTTGGACCAAAACTGTGTTCGAAAATTCAGATGGGTCATAAATTTTCTAAAGGAGAATTTGATTACCAAAACTGTGTTCGAAAATTCGGGTACGGGTAAATGAGAATTTGATTACCAAAACTGTGTTCAAAAATTGTCGTCCCACATAGATGGGAAACATATATATGATTTTCTAGTTGATAAGAGTAGAACAAGGAACTATCTGGTTGATTTTTCATCAAGTCATATATGGATTAATCAATCTACGTTTTCTAATTGAAAATGGAAACAAAAATGACTTCTCCCCTAAAGAAGCTTTATGAGTAGTTAAGCTTATTAAGCTGCTAACAAACCACGAACACTCTACACAAGCATGAGCAAGATGTGCGAATTTGGACCAAATACACATCTTACGGATAGCCAAGTCGACCAAAAAAGCATACCATTTTGGTTACCAATTTGAGGGTCTATGAACACAATAACGTTATTTTATATCTCAAGGGCAATGCATAGAAAGCCAAAGTCCATCATCACACAAACCAATCAACAACGCATGCAGCATCAGCAGCTGCCAAATCAAATGGCAACTCATTTCAAGGCCATTCAAGCCTTTGCAACTCAAAAGCAAAGCCTCCAACTGTTGTTACACTTACATCCATCATTTTTCTTAAAAACTTGACCAGTTGGTTGGTTGGTACCAAATAAGTTTTCCATCTCATCACATTTGGTTCATGGAAACCCGAATAAAACAACCTTTACGACCGATAATGACCTTGAGATGGACTTCTCTCTGAACTGTGCCTCTGTCGAAACACGCCACCCCCAGACTGATGAAAACCCCATCCTGCCCCTGGGTGTGCCACATCTCTTTCCCATGCATGCTGGAATGGATTCGCCATCGAGCTTTCTGCTTCCTGAAAGCTTCTACCGCCAGATGAACCTGATGTTGGTAGGAAATAGACGCCACCGCGAATCTGATTCTGATCTGAAGATGAACCCACCTGACCAATTTGCCCCTGATTGTTCGATCTCCGTGATCCAGATACATTAATAGGTGTGCGTAACCCAGGCAAATTGCTAGGTTGCTGAAAATAGGCCTGAAGGGCCTGGGACCGCTCCCTTGCCCGCGCAGCACTCCCAGGATAAGGATGAATCATTGAAGATCCAACCGAGCTCGGAGCTCTAGCACCAGAACTGCACAAACCACGCAAAACATCACTCTAAATAGAAGTACAAAATAATTAGGAAAATAAAATGAAAACTTCTTCAAGTATCCTCCTGCCTTTCTTTTCACTGCAACATGATGCTTAAGGTTGTCTTCATTAGAAGTCATAAGAATAATATCTAACAAGTCTAAAAGAACTTGTTAAGGTATTGCTTAGTGCCGTATAATCACTTAAGAATTTCAAGTTTACACGTAATGACTCCATACCTACAATCCTTAATAGTCTTTGAATTTCAAAAAACTAACTAATAACCAACTGAGAAACAGGCTTAAATACAGGATAACCGTTGCGTCCTACTAATATGACATGATACTTCATTATTCTTTACTCCATTAAAATTAAAATAAATTATATCTTTATTTTAATCTAAAACATCTAAATTATAATATAAATTTTGAATTAAAAAAGTTATACAAAAAAGAGAACTTTATAATCTTCACTTCGACACCAATATGAATATATATACTTTTTCGGGTTTTTCTAATGGATCTTCAAATTATCAAGACATGTTCGACTGCTGCTTGTAATTTATATTTTATTCAAACGTATTTCGGATTTTCCTTTTTGATGAGAAGTTGCATTAATTTTTCATTATTGGTTTACAATAAAAATCTTAAAAAAGCGACTAATAAAATATAGAAGACAGCCAATTAAGTAGTTTACCTTTGGCCAACAAGGAATGGATGCATATAAGACCCTGATCTTGGCATATCAGCGTTAGTCCTTACTGGCCTTCGCGGCATAACAGATGGCATGGAGGGTTGGTCAGCACCACCTACACGGCTGCCTGACGTTGGAATGACGGTGTGATAACGGACGTCCATGGTGGGCAAAGCATAAGAATTTGGTATCTCACTTGACGCTGATTGGCTGTTCCATTGATTATTGTAAGTAGGACCATCAGCAACAGTTGCACTGGAAGTTGAGGATGATGACGAGGGGTGAACTGGTTGAACATAAGCAATATATGGACACAGATGAGTAGCAGATGATACAGCTGCTGCATGTTCAGTAAAAATCGCATGTTGTCCAAGAAGATCATGGTCTATAGAAAAGAGACAAGAAGAATAAAAATGAATTTCCATCATTAATGAAATCTGGTGAAGTTGAGGTTAAACATATAAGTAGGAATAAAATCTTACATGCAGTTGTTGGAAAGTCCCCTTCACTGCAAACAAAAAAGAAAACGGAAAATACAAGTAGTTAGCGATATTTCACATTCATACTGCAAGTGACATGTATAAATGTGCATCCCATGACCATGCTCATATAGATAGACATGTAGGACACTATACACAGTTAAGTATGGAGTCCTGATCCAAAACAAAGGCATCTCATAAAACAGATGGGGTGTTATAAGAAAACTGTCTTCTGCTTAAATTAACTACAGAAAAGATGAGTTTTTTCCAGTAATATAAAGCAAGATGGGTTTAGAATCATCAGATGTGACTTTCTATAAAATCAATTGCTTTCAAGTAATGGAAAGGCCAGATAGGGTTTAAAATCATCTCTGTATCTTCTTAACAGCCGCTTATTCTCATATCTTCCCTAATCTAACACTTCCTACTAATGCCGGTTATTAGTTCATTATCATTCTATGCAATTAGTCAATGATAACAAAAAATCTTTCTTCCATCTTCAATATTTTTCAAGTCGTTGATTTCCAATATCGATTTGTTCGAAATTTAAGCTTCAAACTGAAGTTACTGTTATGTTTTTCATCACACAGCTCACATTGCCACTGTCCCCCACCGCCATGCCCAACTGCCAATGGCACATAGAGCACTTCAAAACACAAAGAATGTTGTTTAATTAATCAATCTGGTTTGACATGGGTCAACCGTTTGTAGTTGAACAAAAAGAAGAAAGTGATGAGCCTACAAGCATGTGAAGGAAGAAAGTGAATTGTGAGATCAAGCCAAAATCATGAAGTCAGAACTCAGAAAAAACAGGACACATGTAGAAATGAAGTGTCTTCGAGAAGAGAAAAGAGAACTCTTTTTAAAGATTACTAGAAACAAAAAGCTATCTGATATTAAAAGGCCAATACCACCATCCTTTAGAAAGAGCGACTTTGTCAGATCACCTTTATCTATGTAAAGAAAATTGTCTGCCCCAGCATTCAAAGTGAAGAATTTGAGATGAATTGAGGGAAGCAACCCGATCAAGCTCACGGGTTGGGGAATGTGTCTGAGTGTCTATAAGGAAACGGGTGGAAACATAGGTAAGACCAAAATAAGCAGGGGATCATAATAAGATTACCAGAAGAGGTGAAACAAAGCTATTATAAATCAAAGCAGGATAAGAAGACGAAGTATCATACGGACAAAAGAAACACAAAAAGCAATAAAATAGTGATAAATGTCGTCCAAGCAAATCAAAATTAAAACAAGTGAAATAACCAACAATTGCACTTGACAAAGGGGGTATGTCCTCTGACATAATTGGTAAAACTAAAATAGTTTCCTGAATCATGATGTTTGCAAGTGGTCACTTTCAAAGTTAGCCATGAAGTAATTGCTGATCACTGACACAGTTCCAGTTCACTTACATTTTGTAGGTGTTTTTATTCTAGGAAAGGTTCTTATTTTGTATATTTTGCTTATAAGCATGCTGTTACGAACTAATCAAACATCATTCATCAGTTAAATTGATTGTGAGGTGAAACACTTGATTCAGTAAGAACATCATAACAATCTCATGTTCACAAAAAGTTATTCAAATTTTTATCAAATTAAAACAATTCATAGATTCTTTGCCAATATCTATGATAACAATGACTTTCAAAATCAATAATTCCATGAGCAAGCTACAAACATGAAGACTTTTAATCGTTTTTTGGCAAAACTAACTTGGGTGATTTGCGCGTCAATCCCAGGTTGACAGGATGTACTTTGCTATTCGGACCTATTTTGAGGGCGTACGCCTTTAGGTTATTATCCTCATCCATGTATCCCTTATATTAGCTTACAACAACCATTACTTTTTATCATATTATTTGGTGTATCCAAGAAAGAAACAAAATTGATGATGCACGGACGACCTTAAACACCTGGATTGTCATAGACACATCAAGTTAACGATAGATAGACCTTTTTTTATAATTTCAGTTCACATATTAGATTCAAATGATACAGGGCGCTAAAAGATTGCGTTCTATAAGTGCTACAAAGGATAAATTACTCAAAAACTTCAAAGTCAACACATAGACCAACAGTTCTCAATATCATTTCTCATGAAAAGACTTTGTTTATTTACTTCTGTAATCACTGAGAATCACAATAAAATTACGATAAGATATTATTAATACTACTAATCCAAATAACAGTTCTCAAACTGTGGCAGCCTCGTTTGGCAACACTTCTATTTTCTGTTTTCATGTGTATAGCTATAAAAGTCAAAACTACCCTATAAACAGTGTTTGGCTAACTTTTATGTCTTTAGAGAAGCAAAACTAATTTACAAAAAAAATTGTGATTGATCTTTCAAAACCTTGTAAAATAGGATTTTTATTTTTTATTTTAGATTTTCATCTTTTTTATAAGCGAGAAACCGTATTTGTTATATACACATGATTCGTTTGTCAAAAAGAATCACAACTCTATATAACATTAATGAAAATTGTTTTTCCAAAACAGAAAATGTGGGTATTACCAAACAAGGGCAGAACCATCAATATTTGAGATGGAGCTCAAGGTAGTGCTTACATTATTCCATTGCTAAATGATTACAATAAGAACCCAAATACTATTCAAACATTCACATAATTCAACATATTTGCAACCCAATACTGAACCAAACTCAGAGAGATTGGCAGTTCAATTTGGTTGCCTAAACATGCATTCTGCACTTCAAATTTCAAGTTCAGTTGAGATCGTGAAAGTTACTGGGAGTTTGGTAATTTGCAACTCCAATAGGTGATAAAATAAGAGGGTATGTGTGCTTACTCAAAAGAAGCAGCAAGTCGAGTAAATCCACCGAAGGGGCACCACATAGACTGCAAAAAGAAAAAGGGCTGGTGAAGATTGCAACATAACTGGCAGAGTAAGATATGCACCGAGATTAATTTATATGTACGTATAGGGAATTTGTGGTTAAGAGATTATACAGCAGTATTCAACCACACATCGGAGTAAATCCTAATAATGAGTAGCATAACCACACATTTTTCAAATATCGATTCATAATAAGTTAATAGCAGCCAATACTCCATTCCAATAAAAATATTGCACATACAAAAAAAATGCAATTATTAGATTTGATAAATAAATCAATAGCTTCCCTTGCATTACAAAAAGTTCCCCAGAAATACAAGAGTGTTATCTATGCCAGTATTTGTTACAAAGGCTTGCCATGTATAGCATGTATGATCATCTGTTATGAGGATCAAAATCCTGAAAAAAGCAGGCAGTCTGAATGTATGTGACAGCACATTGTCCTCTCCTAAACGTAAAACTCTTAGATTGCAAGGAGTTTCCCAAGGTTCTGGATTTGCATACAGGGGTAAACTGATGGGAGTTTCAAAAACTTCATCTCAAACTAGGAATTAGGGGTGGCAAAATGGTAAGTTGGGTCAGATTGGGTGAAAAGTGCTGGGTCAAACCAGCCAGGTTAAATTAGGTGAATTTTTTAAAACAGGTCATTGTACGGGTATACACGTTGGTCAAACACTTTCTTATCGCCATCGTATTTGATTTATTGGAGAAAAGAACATATGTATATATACACACAGACATTTATATCATAAAGCTTCCACTTAAGAAGGCCAAACCTTTATTTTGCAGCCCCACCCTCAAACATCTCCTTGTGAATCTTGTCATTGCCATTTTCCTTCTTCGCCGCCATGCGTAGCAAGTTGAAGGTTTGTGATTTTTTTGTTTCTCTTTGAGTTCACAATTTTTAGGATTTAAATCAATTTTATCTTGGTTGGGTTTTGATTTTCAGGTTTAAAATCGATTTTTCTTGGTTTGAGTTCTCAGTTATTTGGGTTTAGAATCCACTCTTATTGGTTTGGGTTATCGAATTTAAAATAATTTTACTGACATAAGTATTGGGCAAGAAAAATGAACTGATATCTGGAATGAAGAAGATGATGCCGCATTTGCATTGGAGTTTTTAATATTGACGTTATAGGGCAAAGCTTGACACACATGACCCATTCGACCCACTAAATTGTATACAGTTAGCCCATTGGACCCGCCCAAATAAACCCAAGTAGCTAAAAACATAACTCAAGTTGACCAATTATTACGAATTTGGATCTAAATAGCCACTGCTACTAGGAATGATTCAAACATGATACCCTTAAGAAATTTCAAAAAGATAGAAAATATGGATCAGCCTAGACCTAGATCTCCTCATGTTGCATAAGCATTCATTCACCCACTCATATTCGATCTATGCCAAGTCCTTAATTTATTCTGAACTCTTAGGTCGCCGTACATTCGGAGTTGTACACTAAAAATGCAAACAATTGTAAGAGGATTGTTCCCTCAATCTTATGATAGTGAAGGCAATGATATTAATAGCAATTTTAAGAAATTAATAAGAAAATTATGTAACACTATTTGGAGATAGCATTATTGAAATTTATTAAGTAGGAATGACAAAGGATAGTCAAGATGAGCATTATATGGGAAAGCATACATAACCATTAGTGAGCTTGGTTCTCATGGCCGATCTCTTGGGAACGGTAGAAATTTCTCTCTCCATACTTTCACCGTCTTTGATCTTCCACCCCGTCATTACCCTTTTGTAGTTCTATATTTACCTCCAAAGTGACGTCAGACGTAGACCATGAATTTACATTTTACAAGCATTATAGATGTATCACATTTAGAAAATATAACTCTAGGCCTTACAAGAACCCTAACTATTTCAACATAAACAACGATTTCTAACAAAAGTTGTAAGGGTTTGGGGCAAAAGATGTTTGATGCCTTACCTAATGTCCAAGCACAAATAGTTTACTCTCGAACTTCATGGAATAAAGATTTGGATGATCTTTTTTTATTAACCTGGATATCCAACCCGCTATGCGAGCCGACTAATCTCAGGGCGACCACCCACTTCGCGGGTATCCCAGAATCACCGCATTTGAACCTCCGTGGCCACAAGGGGATTTTATTCCTCCATGGATTCGAACCTGGGACCTCCAGACACTTTTGACCTTTGGAGCCCAAGCTCAAATCAATCGGGCACCAACCTAGTGGTTGATTTGGATGATCTTTGTAATTTTGGTAAGGCAATCAAACTCAAAATCCATACAACTGAAGCTAAAGAAGGAAGAATTTTAAAATACGATTAATGATGAAAAGAAAAGACAAGACATTGGATATACAGCTAAAATGTTGGAAGTTCATAGAATTGAGCACATTAGTTTTGTTTCTTGGCCACTTATTTGAGTAATCAGCAAGCCAAAAGTTAATGTTCTTGCTGTTGTTCCAAGAAGTGTCCTAGAACACACAAGAGCTCATCAAGCTTCGAGTGGTGCAGAAATTTCATTGTACCTCATTCACCAGTTTACCCCCAATGAAAGAACAATTATGGGGAAGGCACAAATACAAATACCAAAAATTGATAGTTGGAAATCAGGTATCATTATTTAGAGATAAGTTTGTAAATATTTACTAGTACATATAATAGCAGTAATTAGGATACTTATGAAAGTATTCAGGACAACTACTAATTTTATGTTTTATCCTCATGTAGGGCTGTAAACGAACCGAACGTTCAGCGAACCGTTCGTGAACCGTTCGGCGGGAAGTTCGTTTATGTTCGTTTATTTAATAAATGAACGAA